CGCCACAGCATTCAGAACGTGAAGACGTGAAAACCGGAGTAGTAGCCGGTGCACTGGATGCCATGATGATCGACGCTAGAACTGAAGGAGATGTTAGTGATACTAGCCAGCCTCATTCGGGCGGAAATACAATTCGAGAGGTGCGTGAAGCTCACGAGAACCAAGGTCCGGCGAACACCAATAATGGCTGGTGGTATTTCGACACAGCTGCAAACATTCATTTGACTGGTAATCAATCATATTACTTGGCATTTACGGAAGATACCAGTCAATCACAGAGTGTTCATGGGGTGACCACAGCACTGGCATCGAGGATTGCCGGTGTTGGAGCAGTTGCTATTGTCTCCGAAGTTGACGGGGAACCGGTGGTGGTGTACCTCAATAATGTTTTCTATGTACCTGGGGCTGAACATGGGCTTCCATCTCCTGGGCTAGCTGCTGAGCAGAGCTTTGATTTCGATTATGATCGTACGACCATGAACTTCAGAGTGATGGATGAGGGGAGAACAGTGATTGTGGCAACACCACAGGAGTCTACCTAGGGCTTCTTTGTGACTCATCCGTCAAATGAAGGAGTTACAGGTCCTCAAGATCGACCTCTTTGTAACTTCACAGCGGCTGAAGGAGTTGCATCGCTAACGTTGTGGCATGAGCGATTGGCTCACACATGTCCACAATATCCGAAGACGATGGTGGACAGAGGGCTTGTACGTGGCATGTTGTTACGATAACGACAGCTGGGAGTTTGTGATGCCTGTCACATTGGTAAATAGAAGAAGGAACAGCATCGTAAGAAGATCGATCGCCAGATCAAGGTACCGTCAGATGGTATATGTCGACCTTCTGATTCCAAGCAAAGCTAATGGAACTAGGTTCAAAGCCGTCCTTGTGATCCTGGATGGCTACTCGCGCTTTGTCAAAGTGCACATGCTGACTAGCAAAGCAAGCAGTGTAATTAACCGCCACATCAAGGAGTATGTGCTGTGGGCAGAGCTTCAAGCGGGTAGACAACAAAGTGAATTAGAGAAGGTGGCATACAAGGTTCAGAGGATTTTGACGGACAAAGGTGGTGAGTTTGTCAACGGTGAAATGGAGAGTTGGTACAAAGCACACGGTATCGAGCATGTTCTCGTCGGTCCGAAGAGCTCTCAATTGAATCCATGTGAGCGTACTCACCAGTCGCTCATTGATATGACCAAAGCCACCATGCATCAGTCTGGTTTTCCCAAGCGTATGTGGCCGGAGGATCCGAGAAACGCTATCTACATAAAAAATCGAGTATTCAACAAAGAAACTCGAGGGATACCGTTCAAGATGATGTTCGGGAGTAAATCTGATTTACATCATATCCGTAAATTTGGAGCGCTGGCTTACGTGCACGTACCTGTGACCCCTGGACGCAAGAAAAATCACGATAATGCAAAACTAGGATTTTTTCTCGGCTATGCTGAAGATGTTGTGGGGTGTAAAGTGTTCTTTCCAGATGACCGAACAGCGAAGTTTGTGGCTGATTTACGAGTATCTGAAGACGTGATGTATCGAGATCGTCACAACGCGTCTATGGGTGACTCTGATCTAGAGTCACTACACTTTAAGCAGTTCAGTGAAATGGATTTGTCCTTGGAGAGTATTACAGATGTGTCCAACATGCGGACCTCGGCAGTTTCGTCCGATATGAGTGTGGCTGAGACCCAAGATGTAACGGGCCTGGGGTGTCCGTTACTTGCTTACACGTAGTGATGAGGAAGCGTACAAGTCCAGTGATACTGAAACCAAGTACTTAGTCTGAAGGAAAATCAACTCTGTTTTTATTTAGCTTGCCCTGACCACTCAAATACACGTCAACTCCTTATTGGTTGATTATGGGTCTGGCTCCCCATATTTCAACCAATAAGGTGACGGCAGTTCAGCACACGCTACTCGTGTGCTGCTGCACCTACTTTTGTAATGCAAATCTACCTACTTATGTAATGGTGTGAGCCACTACAAAGAACCTATAAAACTACCTACAAATGTAACTTGGGAGGGACCATTACACAAGAAACCATGGATCTTGAGGTGAGCAAAGCGGACGAAGCCTCTGAGATTGACCATCCGGGTACAGCAGCATCGGAAGTACACGAAGGTGACGCGTATATCGAGATGTATACAGGGCCTGTACGAAGTGAGTACAGTGTTGCATCCGAAGGATATCTCTCTCCAGATAATGATCTACAGGCGGTTGTGGAAATTCACACAGTGACAAGGTGTCGAACACGCTGGATGAGAGTACGATGAATGTGCTGAGCACTGAGCAGCTCCAGGCGCATTCGAAGGAAAGCATTAGATCAGCATATGGAGAGGTAGTCTCGGATGCCGATTTGCCTAGTGATGACAGCGAATCGGTGGCTGGAGTGTGCGGATCAATTGCGGATGATGAAACAGCTAGATTTGATATTGTGCCTGAAGATACCGCCAACAGGGACGATATTACAGTCGCTAGCTCGATTGAATCGCTAGGTCATGAGGAGAATACTGAGATACAAAAGATGAACAATGACCTGGATGATACAATCGAGAGCCGTGAAGTTATGGGCATAAGCCCATTCTATCACCAGCAAATCGGAAAATGCGTTGATCGTGATGAGACTTATTCGAAAGAGTTGCGCGTTGAGCGTCATGCTGACAGGAAGCGAAACGCACACGTACAGAACTTCGCGAATATTACGAACGACGTCGGCCTGCGTACCTGAATGACTATGTCGTGAATGCCATCCAGAGTACATCTCGGATATAGGATTCGAGTGGTCAGTATATCAAAGCTAGCACTGTGAAAATTCCTCGAAATAGGCGCGAAGCAAGACGATCTAAGTTTGCAGGCTTATGGGGACTAGCAGAAGTTGATGAGATAACTGCATTGAGAGCGAAGGGTGTCATTGTGGAGATACGAAGTTCGGAAGTTCCCGAAGGCGCCAAGATGCTTACTACTGGATGGATCTATGCCCTTAAATCAGATCACGAAGGGTATGCTATTCGCTTCAAGGCGAGAATTGTGGCATTCGGCAACTACCAGCGACCAGGGATTGACTTTTGTGATACATTTGACCCCGACCGCCGCCGTCCAAGAGACGTTACGGGAAGCATATGGTGTGAGTGACGGCATTGCATTTGTAGGTATACGGTGGGGATATCAATACCGCATACCTGAATGCTCTGCTAGGGATACGACAATATCTAAGATCAATCGACGGCTTTCCATGTGCAGTGGACGGACATGTCTACAAGGTAGTAAAGGCATTGTATGGACTGCGGCAATCTGGTCGAGAGTGGAACTTTGAATCGAACCAATGGCTACTTGAGCGTGGCTTTCAATGATCAATGACCGAACCATGTCTGTATTACTGCTTTGATGATAACACTGTCATGTTGATCCTAGTCTACGTGGATGACATCATGGTGGCTACGAGCGATGAGGAAGCCAAGGAGAAATTGTTCGGGGACCTGGATATGGCTTATGGCATCAAAAATCAAGGTCTATTGACTCAATATTTGGGCATTGAGGTGACTCAAAGTTCAAAGAGCATCGCGATTAGACAGAGCAAGTATGCACGCGAAGGGTTGGAGACATTCGGATACGATCAGGCTCATGCAGTTAAGAACCCGATGGAGACTAACGTGAAGTTGTCACCGCTCACTGAGAACGAAGAGTCCGACACCAGTTTCGAATCTCGAAAGGCCGTGGGGATGCTAATGCCCTCTGCTACTGGTACCCGACCGGATTTGGCTTTTGCCGTAGGACATTCAAGTCGATTTGTGGCCAAACCGTCAACCAAGCACGGCTGGTCACTAAAACGTGTCTTGCTGGAGCGGTAAACTATGGTATTACGTACAATCGTGCGGATAAAGTACCTGATGCTATAGTCTCTGAAGGCTACTGTGATAATGACTGGGCTAACGACCCAGAGTCGCGAAAGAGTACAGCGGGATTCGTGTTCTCGCTTGCTGGAGGTGCGATCTCCTGGATGTCGCGACGTCAGTCTATCGTGGCACTCTCAACAGCGGAGGTCGAGTATTGTTGCGGCTTGTGAGGCAGCTATGGAAACTACAGCTGCGAGTAACATACTACAAGAAGTAGTTTCGCAATGCAAACTTGATCTAAAGCTCGGGATTGACAATCAGGCTGCCCATATCTTGGCGACCAATCCAACTTACAGTCGCAGAACAAGACATATTGAACTTTGATGGCATTTCATACGAGAACAAGTTCAAAAGGGAGTCATTGAGTTGCATAAGGTCAGAGGCGACGAGAACTCCGCAGACGCATTCACAAAGCCGCTGGACAAGAATCGCTTGCGCATTCTGCTGGAGCTCATTGGTATTTGTCAAGCCTGATGAAGGGTATCACTGTTACGAAGTACAAGTTAGTGAACAGCATGTGCTTCGTGGTGGCGTGTTGGAATGAATATTAGCGAAGCACTATGAGTGCTGATGTAATGGTCGAGTACAGCCGTTGGTCAAGTTGAAGATCAACGGGCTATGAGACTCTGCGTATGAGGATAAGCGCAGCAGTGCGTCGAAGCATAATGAAGTCAAGTAAAGTGGGTATCAGCTTGAGAAGTTGCTCAAGCCCGCTTAAGAAGTATGTTGGAGCTTCGAGGCAAACAGCGCTAATGAGTTTTTCAATCTTACTTTCCATTTTCTCTTTTAAGTGTGTGGTCGTGGTCATACGAACTCAAGTGCACATTCCAATAGAGGCTTCGTCGCTAAGTCGGTCGCTGAAGGAGCTGTAGCTCTCGGCGTCTTCCGCCATCGTCTACGCTGGAGGGGGAGGTTAAGGGATTTGTTATTCGTTTCGTCTCTGATGTGCTTACAGACAATATGGGATTTCACACCAAAATTTGAGACGTCTTTTTTGTCAAAGTCGCTTTCGTATTCTAGCTTAGTTTTCCTACGGCTGCATGCTGATTGGTAAAAAAAAAACTGCCAAATTATGTTCTCCACACCACTTTCTCAACCTCACCATTTTTCACAACAAGAAATATCAACCATGCCGGGAGCAATCAAGCAGCACGCGCTTGACGCGCTCAGCAGCCGCAAGACGGACGGTAAGGGCTTGCGCGTGGCCATTGTGCACGCCAAGTGGAACGCCGAGGTGGTAAACTCACTGGTATCGGCCGCCAAGACGGAGCTTCTCCGCGCCGGTGTGGGCGAAACCGACATCGTGATCGCCGACGTGTCGGGTGCGTATGAGCTTCCGTACGCCGCTAGTCGCATTATCGCGTCGCAGAAGCTGGACGCCGTCATCTGCGCTGGAACGCTTATCAAGGGGGACACGATGCACTTTGAGTACATCTGCGAGGCTGTCTCGCAGGGCATTATGCGTGTGCAGCTGGACACGGGCGTGCCTGTGCTCTTCGGCGTGCTCACGGTGCTCAACGAGCAGCAGGCCAAGGACCGCGCCGGTCTCTCGGACAAGGGACACAACCATGGCACCGAATGGGCGCAGACCGCCATCGAGATGGCCCGCCTTCGCGAGGCTACGCTCAAGGGGGGTTGCCCCATGCGTCCGCACGAGCACCTGCCCTACCACAGCCTGACCAATTGCCCGTTCTTCACGGTCTCCACGTGGCTGCACATCGCCACCCTTGGAGCGCTCGGCTTCGTCGCTGCTGCGGCTGCTAAGAAGCTCGCCTAGACTCAAGAGATTCAATCCTCGTAGCTATCAGGCACAAACAAGATCCTCTTTTTAAAGCAACATTCCGGTGGTCCAGACGTATTGTTTACCTATCAGAATCCGAGCTGAACTTTGCTGATAGGGGCTGCTACGCGCACTGTAGAGCCATTGCTCCGATACGAGCCATTGCTGCCGACACTGCGCACCGACCGATCACTAAAAATATTTTGGGTAACACAACAATTGCGTTAGTCGCAAATATTGACGTGCAACTGCAATAATTACAATCGAACCTTTTGTCACTGCGTGCGGACATGGGGCGAGGCAAGCCGCCACCGTCGGCTCTTGCTGCGGCCGTTCGTCCAGGCGGCACGGCTGGAATGTGCATGCCTGCCTCACGTACAGCCATCTGCAGTGGGTCTCCGATCTCCGGGAACTCGTTGGCTAATTGCCCCAACGTGTACAGCAAGCTCGCGCCGATCTCCTTAAACTCCAGCGCCTCCAGCATCACCTGCTCCTTTGTACGCCAAGTACCGTCGTCATCGAACCCTCCGGCACTCACAGCGAATTGCCGATGTTCTCGCATCTGACGCTCCAGTTTCTTGACCACTTTACCCCATTTGGCTCTCTCAGTCTGCACCTCCCGCTCCACTTGTGATAAGGCGCCTTCGAGTTGCGTGGAGTTGGCTCGAGCGAAGTCTCTTTGAGTCTCCACTTCACGAAGTCGCTGCGTCTCACTAGTCACATCCAGTTCTACTCTTGCTAACTCCTTCTTCTTCTTAAAGAACGTATCTTCCGCCATCTTCGCTTGTGCCTCCAGAGCAGCAAGACGTTGCGCGTCGTCACCAGCAAGATCAGCGCGATGGAAACTTTTACGATACGCCGAGTTGCGCTCTTCCAGATGAACCAAGGTCTTCTTCAGGGCGCGTACATCTTTCTCGGCTACTCGGATCTTGTCGTCTAGTTCGTCTCCTTCCCGCTGAAGTTCCTCGCGACGCTGAGCTGCTCGAATAACAAAGTACGCTTGACTCCTCTCCTTCCCCGCCTCTCCAGTATCCTCACCGCCGTCTGCATACGCTCCCATCTTGCAGAGTGTCTCGAATTTGGCCTGTAGTTTACGAACACGACTCTCTCTATCTGCCAGCTCCACAGACACACGGTGACGTTCGTCTTCAATCGCTTTAGAAGCTGCTCGCTGTAGCTCTTGGTGTGCTGCAATCTCACGCTTACGTTCCTCCATACTCTTCTTCAATTGGAAGTCGCGATTCTCGAGCGACAAGACCTCGTCAGCACGAGAGTGAAGCAGGTCACGGAGACGACGCACTTCAAGCGCTTGCAGGTCGTGTTGTATCAGCAGTTCTTCCTTGTTCTTCAGTGACGCCTTGAGTGCATGTGCACAGCTCTCGTTGCGCAGCTCATGCTCGGCTATCTGAGCCTCCACCTCTCGTTGTTGCGCTATCAGGGCTTTACGAGATCGTTCCTGAGCTCGTCGCTCGTCCTCGAGCTTCTTACACTGCGCGGTAAGCATGACTTGTTCGGCTTTAACACGGTCTAACTCCATCTGTAGCACTTGGATCTGGGCCTGCAACGCCTTCGTCTCATCGGCACTTCGTTCTCCACTAGCTCGAGCCACTTTACGCTCCATTTGTTGGATCTGGAACTCGCCGTTGTACACGAGCTCTTGTTGTCGTAAGGCCTGCGCATCGAGTGATCGCAGCTTGGAGCGTAGGTTTTGTGCTGCAGATTTCGCTCCTGAGAGCTCTGCTACCAGACTCGCTTCTTGCTGTCGTAGAGCAAACAATTGCTGACTCCTACGAAACATTTGCTCCTTCTGGATTGAAATCTCCTTGTCCAGATGCTTCACTTCGCTCTCCATGTCAGCCAGATCCGCTTCAGCTTGCTTGGCCAGTGCTTCAGCGTCCATCGTTGAGTCACGACAGCGTTCCAGCGCCTTGCGTGTGCCTTTAAACCGCGCTCTGGCAGCCTCAAGCTCCTGCTTCATCGCTTCTAACCGGTCATCGCGGTTCGAATTGTTCGAGCGCTGCTGGTTTAGCGCAGCCACGGCACTGGAAAGCTCACTCTTCAAAAGCTCCACTTGATCACGGAAGGCTTGTAAGCGAGCTCCTGTTTGCAGTAACTCTTGCTGTGCCTTGGACTGCGCACGTTCCTTGCCTGCCAGCTGAGCCTGCGCTTCGTTATTCGCTGTTTCCTGTTGCTTCAGTCGACGTTTCTGCTCGCCCAGCAGCTCCTGCTTACTCAGAAAACCACGCTGCGCTAGAGCGAACTGCTCGCTTGCCTGTGTGATCTCTTCGTCGCGAGCACGCATCGCCTCAAGTGTCGATTGCCATTGCGCCACAAGCTTCGCACGCTCTGCGTGAAGAGAACGAAACTCCTCAGCCGTCTTGTCTAGTTCAATTTGCTTGGCTTGTGTCTCGGTCGCTTCATCGTCCACTTCGCGCTTGGCTCGAGTCAGCTGCTGAGTGAGTTTCTCCAATGCCAGCGTCAGTTCCTTGATGCGAGCCTCGTCAGCTCGTCGGTATCGCTCTAAAGCCATGGCATCCTCTTCTTTCTGTCGTGCTGCCACTGCCCACTGCTCCATTTCGTCCTGGTTCCAGTTCATCTGCAGCTTAAAGGCGTCCATGGCTTCGTTACCTTTGAATAACGAGCCTTGTAAACCTGCAAGCTTGCGTTCCAGTTCAGCTGCCTCTGCGTCGAGGACTTTGGCTTCTTGAGCCACTCGGCCTATTTCACGCTCTGCTAGTTGCCTCATGTGCTCCTCGCTTTCAACTTCTTTAAGTTTAGCGCCATGCAATGCTTGGGTATGTAGAAGTTCCTGCTGTACGTTTTTCAGATGCTCCGTCATGATCTCGACACGAGACGAAGTCTCTGCGAGTTCTCGCTTGGCAGCTTCATAGCGTGCCTCCTTGATGCGAATCTGCGCATGCAACTCGCGGTTCTTCTCGTCTGCAAACAGCGGGAGATCGTCGATACCCGTGGGTAGTGTCCGAACTGTCGACACGTCTCTCTTGCCACTGACTTCGCTGTTGTTGTCGAGTTCTTCTTCGTCCTCCTCATCGAGACTCTGACCTCGCTCGCGTCCGTCAGCGCGCTTCCAGCTGTAATGCTCCGGCTCGGAATCGACGCTCTGTGGTTCATTAGTCTCGTCAATCTCCTCGTGACGGCCACTATCCTCCATCCGATTGTTATCATCGCCAGTGTCTATCAAAAAAGACTTCAAATCTACGTCGCCACCAGCTCCAGTGTTCTCATCATCGAAATCCATTTGCGTCTCACCGAAGGCTGCTTCGCCCGAGTCGCCATCACTGGCGTAGCTTCCGGGCATTATTTCCTTAGAGTTATGAGTAGGGATCTCCACTCTGGATCGTTTCAACTCCATTGCAAAACCCCCCAAAGTAGCATCCGTAAATAGTCAAATGCTCCAGCTCCGGACATTGGCCATTCACTTTGCGTTTCAACCGCCGAGTGGATGTGGCGCCGTTGCCTCGTACGAAGCAGAACGCAGGTCTTATCATCGAACCTGCTCTATCGCTCTGCTGGGTGGTGGAGCAGTGTTGGCAGTAGGGACTTAACCGGCCTGCCAAAAACTGGCCTAAACCTAGTTCTGCCAAGGGGATTCGGCCCTTAGGCCATGGCCGGGCCATGGCTGCCCAGACTAGATTCTGCCCACAAGCCAGCAAGCCCGCGACGGGAGGCCAAGAAGTAGCAGCTCGTGCGCGTCCGACGGAGACTTCAGCAGCAGCAGCTAGCGCCCGCCCCCGACCGACCAAGGCCGGAGAAGCAGCAGCTCGTCAACGGCCACGCTCAACAGAAGACCAAGGAAAAGATACAGCAAGTCTGCAGCTACGGCCGACGGACATCTGAGCAGCAGCAGCTAGTGCCCGTCCACGACCAACCGAGACGGGATCAGCAGCAGCTCGTGTGTGTCGACAGAGGCCTGAGCAGCAGCAGCTAGTGCCGGTCCCCTACCGACCGAAACCGGAGTATCAGCAGCTCGTAAGCGGCAACGTCTGGCAGGAGACCAAGCGGCAGCAACAGCTAGTGCGTGTCCGACGAAAACCGGAGCGGTAGTAACTCGTAATCGGCCACGTCCGACGAGAGGCTAAGCAGCAGGAGTAGCAAGTCCGCCGCTACGACCAACGGGGGGCCAAGCACCAGCTGTGTGTTCAAAAGGTTACACCCTTGAGCATACACTTTTCAGTATGGGAGACGCTGGAGGACGTCCTGAGAGACAAGAAAGCAAGCATTTTAAACGGCTTCCTGAATTGGGGACAGCAAAAGGAGGTTATAGCTATCGCGAATGCAAGTTTTGCAGGGCTGCGTTCCAGAATGAGGTGACCACTACCCCGCCAAAGCCGATAATCGGTAGAGTGCGAAACTACCAAAGCCATCTCGCCAAATGCACATATTACAAGGCGGCTCAACTATGTGTGGAGCCATTGGCGTCGCTGACTGTTGTGGCAACGCCAGATGTAGTACAAAGAGTGACCCTGGTGTCCTCGGTGGGAGGTACTACCTCAGAGGTTTTACCAACTACTCCTCCACCAGTTGCTTCACAAACAAGATCCCAGTACGCTGGCATACCTTCACGTCATGCTGGTTCACGAACGGCACGTCCAGCTCATGCTCGCCGCTCACTGATACTCGAGAAGCGCCCTTCGCCGGCAGTCAACGCGTACAACCTAATCGTGAAGAAGACGAAGAAAGAAAAGCGGAGGTTTTCAAAGAGTGAGATCAGACAAATTGAGTGTTATCTCATCGAGCTTCACGCCGACAACCATCTCCCAGACAGACATATTGAGCAGGCGTCCGTTCTGCGGTTCCTGGAGCTTCTGTGTCCTGGAATTTCAGACGTTATTCCTTCTCGACGAACGTAGAGTGGTCGCATCCTTAAAGAACATGCAAGCCGTTGCAGCACGACGGACACGGAAACTTTGAGGGCAATGGTGAAGGCTACAAACGGTTGGGTTAATCTGCTCTCGGATGTTTGGCAAAATATCTCCAAGGAACACCTACTGGGCTGTCAACTCTCTCTCTTTGGAATACTGCTTACCTACGCGCTCTTACCAGCTGGGGACGAGCATCATGGCATAGCTATTGCCAAACAACTTGAGCAATTACTGGAGCGAGCCCAACTAGAAGGGTGGTGTGTTGGAGCAATGGCGACGGATAATGCAGGACAGTGTGGACGTGCTCGCCGGATTCTGGCCATTCGGTGGCCGCAGGTTGTTTTCTTGTTTTGTTTTGCGCATGACGTCAACAACCTCGTGAAAGCAGTACTAAAATCGAATTTTAATGGTATTGCATCCAAGGCTGCAACGGCCGTCAACATTTTGAACGCGTCATCTTTGAAGTGGCTACCACGTGCTCAAAACATCATGAAAAAGTTTTACGGGAGATCTTTGGGGCTACGAACGCTATGCGAAACAAGGTGGAACTCTATGCAAGGATGCTTGGCATCTTTGCTTCGCGTTCAATCAGCTCTGCAAACGCTGTACCGCCAATACAAAACCAATAGTGACTTTCCAAGTCAGCTGCGTGTTTTTGGTGAGTCTCTATTTTGGGAAGAGCTAAAAAAAAGCAGAAGCCGTTATCGCGCCAATATCTTACGCATCGTTTCGTCTTCAGCGAGATGAGAATACCCTGGGAGATGTCGTGCAATCATTTCGGGAAATTTATGAGGGTTTCCAGCAACATCTTGTCCGTCGTAACAAACTAGTTGAGTGCGTTGAGCATCGTTGGGCGCAGTGTGAGCAGCCCCTGTTTATGCTTGGCTTTGCACTACATCCAGTGTACGCCGAGATCGCTAGAGAGTTACCTGAGACCGCTGTATCGGGAACCGGCACGTTGTGCAAGATTGCTGTTTACTATTTCCGGCGACTGTTTGCTACTGAGGATATTTGCGAGATACGTCGTGATATGCTGGCCTGGATGAAAGGTCGCTTTACCCGAACGAAGCCTAGCGAGTTTCCCAATGTACCATGGGAGTACTGGGAGTGCGTTGCGACGGAACGTCCCAAGAGCCAGCTTCCAACACTCGCCATGAGGGTTCTCTCTATTGCAGTAAATACTGCCACATGCGAGCGTCTCTTTAGTGAACTTGGCGTAATTCACACTGCAAAGCGCAATCGTATGGCTCCAACTTAAGTCCTCGATTATCACATCATGGCCAAGCATGTTCGCAATCGGTCTAAAAAGATTGATTCCGGGGATCCAAGGAAAAAGCTTCTTATTTCTCCCATTGAGAGAGAAATTATAATGGATGTTACGAGCAGATCTAACCTGTTTGAACCTTCACCCCATCAACAGGGGTCATCGAATGCAGACCATGACAGTGACGATGACGATCCGGGTGACGGTGCTGATGGAACAGCTACTTTGACGATGTGGGGGGAGTTTCTCGACGAGGTGTTTGAGGATGAAGAAATTGATGCGGGCTACACAGAAAACGAAGCTGGTCCTGAGCTGAGAATGTTAAGAGAAGAACGTGAAGATGATTCGGAGGACGAGAATGAGCTGGAAAATATCCCTTCCCCGATCAAGCACGAATTTATTGTCCATAATGACCGAAACTTCCCACAAGAAGCGCTAATACTCCAGGGATTTCGTGGTCGGAAATCAACACTTACGGAGCTATTTGTTTGAAATTAATATAGTACCAGGTACTCAAAGTAATATCCAGCTTGGCCTTCAAGCGTACGTAATGTACAGTCTGAATTCTTCCAATTGGTATTGCTACTGCTCTCGGTCAGACTTTCACGTCGGTGCTGGCCTCTAGATTCCGTCGACTGCGTACCTGATGTCGACGTCGGCGTAAACCACGCTGTTGCCGCCCGCATGCCTGATGCTGTGGCTGCTGCGCCTGATAGGTAAACGAAAAGGATCCTGGTAGATATCCTGCGTAAGCCGCAGCGTTGCTCTGGTCTCCGTCGGATGGGCGCGAGCTGCTGCTGTTGCTGCTTGGCCTTCTGTCGGACGTGACTGTGTACGAGATGCTACTACTCCGGTCTCGGTAGGTCGTGGATGAGCGCTAGCTCTGCCGCTGCATGACCTTGTGTCGGGCGTGGCGGAGTACGAGCTGCTGCTGCTGCTTGGCCTTCTGTCGGACGTGACTGTGTACGAGTTGCTGCTCCGGCTTGGCTGCTTGCCCTTCTGTCGGCTGCTGCTCGGGTCTCCATCGGCTAAAGCTGAGCTGATTTATCCAATTCGTTGTTATTTAAGTAAAATGCTATATTTAAGATGTAATCAGTAAAGTCCTTCCGCCACAGGCTTCGGCCAATCGGCCTGGACGGACTTAATCCGTCCGTCCAAATCCCAAGGACTTTGCCAACACTGGGTGGAGAACTCGGATGAAAATGCTAATGACCAGGCCCTGGTGACACTTTGTTGAAGTTGTCCTCAATTTCTCATTAATTTAGGACGCAGCAAAGGGTAATTGTACTGATAAGGTCACAAAGCATATGGCGATCTGGCTTTTCGTCCCGAAAAAAGTGAGAATCAAAACTCAAAGTTGTCGTCGGCGTGCGTCACAATGATGCAATCATTTGAGCAATTAGTATCAGCGTTATCTGCAAATGGTTGCATCATACCAGCACACCAAGTGCGTGGCCGACGCCTGCGAAGCGTCATTCCGCATTTTGCGCAGTACCGCACAAGTGCCTTCAACGGCCCACCTCACCACCATCTTATCACCTCCATAGCCATGTCGGAGCCGCGGCTGACCAGCGAGCAGATCAATGCTCTTCGTGAGAAGGAGCTGGATCAGTGGAAGACGCAGGAGAACGCGGCCGACCTCATGGTGCCGCTCATCGGTCGTCTGTACCGCGAGAACAACGTGGTGAGCGTGCTCTTCGGCAAGGGCCTCGTGCATAAGAACAGCATCGACATCATCAAGCTGCACAACTTTGTCTGCAAGTACGTGGGCAAGGGCATGCAGCCCACCGAGACGCTCGTAGTGCTACTCGCTCTCGTCCAGTACGCACCCAACGCACGCGACATGCGCATCGATCTTGGCCGCACGTTTGTCTTGATGGAGAAGGAGGTGCTGAACGTGCAGGCTCAGGTGACGCCTGAGGCTCGTGACGCCAAGGTGCGTGCGCTGGGAGAGCTGCTGAACGCCAAGATGGCTCCGCTCACAAGCGCGCCGGCCTTAACGCCCAGCGACGTGATCTTGTACGGTTTCGGCCGTATCGGTCGCTTATTGGCCCGCCTACTTATCGAGAAGAGCGGCCCTGGCGTCAAGCTCATGCTGCGTGCTATCGTAGTACGCAAGGGCACCAAGGAGGACCTCATTAAGCGTGCCAGTCTGCTGCGTCGTGACTCAGTGCACGGCCCGTTCCATGGCAGCATCACATTCAACGAGGAAGCCAACGCCATCATCGCCAACGGTAACCTCATCCAGATCATCTACTCGGACGGCCCAGACAAATGCGACTACACTAAGTACGGCATCAACAACGCCATCGTCATTGACAACACTGGTCGCTGGCGTGATGCCGATGCTCTGGGACTGCACCTCAAGTCTCCTGGTGTCTCCAAGGTCATCCTAACTGCGCCTGCTAAAGGTGCTGTGCCCACCATTGTGGCTGGCGTCAATGATGACGCGATCTCGAACTCTGACAACATTTACTCGGCCGCGTCTTGCACGACCAACGCCATCGCGCCGTCGCTGTATGCACTGGACAAGAAGTTCGGCATTGTGGGTGGCCACATTGAGACGGTGCACTCGTTCACGAACGACCAGAATTTGATCGATAACTACCACATGAAGGAACGTCGTGGCCGCAGTGCTGTGCTGAACATGGTTATCACGGAGACGGGCGCTGCTGCCGCTGTGGTCAAGTGTCTACCTACGCTTAAGGACAAGTTAACCGCTAACGCTATCCGTGTCCCGACACCAAATGTGTCGTTGGCCATTCTGAACTTGTCACTCGACCCGACCAAGGCCGAAGGGATCACCAAGGACTCCATCAACACGTTCATGTCGAAGGTGTCGTTGGACTCGCCACTCCAGAACCAGATTGACTTTGTCAACTCGGCGGAAGTTGCATCCACCGACTTCATCGGTAGCCGTGCTGCTGGTACCGTGGACGGCAAGGCGACTATCGTGGACGGCAACAAGGTGATTCTCTACGTCTGGTACGACAACGAGTTCGGCTACAGTTGCCAAGTCGTGCGAGTTGTTCAGCGCTTGATGGAGATTAACCACACGCGCTTCCCGGCCAAGGAGCAGATGGAGGAGATCGACCGCTCTCTCAACCTCACCTGGGACATCTAGATTTCAATGAAAAGTCGACAGAACGTCAAGTGTAAGGCTGACATCGCTGAAAGTAATCGCACAGATAGCAATTTATAAAAACACTTCGCTTTTAAAAGGAAACTTCCGTTTCGCGATGACGTCTACAGATTGAAAATTCACGATGCTATCCACGCGCGAAGTGCGTACTGCCGCCGAGAACGAGTTAGCAACCACATCGTCGCCAAGACGCGCTAAGAAGGACGAATCCTGCGCCAGTTTATCATCAAGAATTCAAGCGTGGCAAGGTATGTGAACATCAATACTTGGATGTCACTTACGCTACCACTTCATGCCTCAGAATCCGCGGACAGCAGGCAAAAGCACCTTCAACACGTCGTAAACGGCAACACCTCAGTAGCACTAACATCCAGCACTAAGATCGGCTCAGTACGCGACGCTAGGTTTTCGTCGTACAAGAAATCTAAAGCAGCGTCGGTAGAAGTCAGTGCAAAAGACGCTGACAGCCACGAAAGTACAGTGGTGATGATGACTCAGTGAGTGGAATGGTGAGTGAACTCAATGAAGCAGCCATGGACACAAGAAAACAGCTTTTGACTGCGTTGGCTGTGACGGAAGGTACGAGTAAAAATCTACTTGGATCAAGCTTTAGGTCGAGCTCTACAGAGTTTAACGAAATTCAGCAGTCTGTGCAACGTTTACGAGCTCAACGCACACATGTGGAGCGAATAAGTCAACGAAATGAAGAGCTGGAACGCCAATTAGCTGAGCAGAAAGCAGAGAACGAGACGTTGCGACGAGAAGTTTTCACTTTGCGTGGAGCTGACCAAGAGAATGTCACGTATCTACAAAGCGTGAAGTTGTTGGAGCAACGAGCTCGTGAATTGGAGGAATCATGCCACGAAAAGAAACTGGACTTGAGAACTACCACAAAGAGATTAAACTACGTTGAGCAAGAACGGGATGAACTTTGTGAGAAGATCAAAACTATTCGACAAGATTATGAGGATGAAGTCAAAGTTTTGAGAGACAAGAAGAAGAAGCTGATGCAGCTCATCGAGCAGCTTAAACAATCCCACGACGCCCAGACAGACGAGAATAAACGAACAGAGCACCACTGGAAGCAGAAGATGAAGGCTACAGCTCGAGCAAACTCTGAAACTATTGACTCTCTTCAGCAACAACTAGAGGCAAGCTGCAAGCAGACGAGCAAACTCGAAGCGGAACTGCACGATTTAAACAAACAAGTGCAGAAGTTACTAGCCACCACTGTGAGACAGACAACGATAATTGAGGAGTGCGATCGAATGCTGTCCGAGGCTGAAGTACAGCATCAGCAAACCCACGCTAGCTACGAAGAACAGCTACAATGCTCCAGCGAGTTGAATGGTAAAAACGAGCGATTAGAGCTGCAATTAGCGTCTTTGAAACAGTCTAAAAGTATGGAGACAATCGAGTTGGAGAAGAGAGTGTTACTGCTAGAAAACCAGCTTGTCGAACACAAAGATCGTTTGAAGATTGCAGAAGAAGCACTGCAGAATAAGGATAAGGAGATCGGAGTCGTACAGCGCGCATATGCCACTCGGGACGACAACCGCCTCCACTTGGACGAGGTACTTTCACAATTTGTTGCTTATTCATCTTTCAATTACGTGAACCTTGCTGGCATCCTACAATTAGGTTAACAAAAAGCTTCAGCGTAAAGAGAGATACTTGAAAAGTACCATTTCCGAGCTACAGATCGCATTAAGGGTAAGCGAGAACCGCAAATCCAAGTCTCATTGTTGACTCTTTACTAATGCGGCACAGGACGCTACAGACGAGAAGAAACTTGTCGAAGAACAAGTCGTCGAGCTGCAAGAGAAATTGGAGAGCGAGCGAAAGGATCGATCTCACTGGGCCACATCTCGACTCAAATTGCTCGCCGAATTCTGCGACGAAGAGAGCAAACTCAGCTCAGCACTTAGTCACCACAGCGAATCTCGTACTCCTAAAAAATCTTCTCATCGGCAGAAGCAAAAGAAAGCGAAGAACAGGCGACATACAAAGAGCACTGCGACAGCTACTCAGGGTTCTACAGTACTAGAGACGACAGCGAAGTGGACGAGACGAGACGAAGCTCAATTGTTTTCGGCTAGAGAAGTCGACTAAAAAATGCGAAGGAGCTCATTGGACTTGAATGATAATTTATCCAGAACGCTACCTCATTCCAACACTCAGTAAATTTTACTTTCTTCTTAAATCAACGAAAACCACTCATGAAATAGGACTTCACTCGTCCCACTGCAAGACAGAATATAATCAGGTCAGTGGACACGTTTTCTCAGTCATATAACAATGTTTCTTACCTCGTCAGAGTTGGAGAGCGGTTCGTACGTCTTGTGCGAAGGACCAAGCTTCTGTCGTACCATGTTCTTGAGCTCAATCACCTTTGCGTCCTCCTTGAAATGGTGCTTCGGATCCTTGTCGCTCAGTACGGGTGGCTGGTAACTCTTGAGTAAGAGAGACGATATCACTACTGATACCGACGAGAAGGCCATTGCTAGACCAGCACACGCAGGCGGCATCATCCGGTGGATCAGCGGGAAGAACATGCCAGCAGCTAGAGGAATCCCCACGGCGTTGTAGATGATCGAGAAGAAGAAGTTCAGCTTGATACGAGAGAAGACCACGCGAGCCAGATCCAGAGCCACCACCACATCCGTCAGCGTGCTCTTCACCAACACCATGTCAGCCTCCGCCTTGGCGATCTGTGTGCCAGCACCGATGGCCATGCCGATGTCCGACTGGGCCAGAGCTGGCGCGTCGTTGATACCATCGCCAACCATACACACAATACGCGGCTTCAAAGTCAGAGGGTTCACCTGCGACTGCAGCGCCTTGATCTGAGCAGCCTTCTCGCCTGGTAGAGCCACCGCCTTGACGTGGTTGATGCCCATCTGACGAGCGATGGCGCTGGCTGTACGGAGGTTGTCGCCAGTGATCAGCCACACATCCAGTCCCATGGACTTCAAGTGCTTCACGACAGCTGCAGCTTCCGGACGAGGAGCATCAGCCAAGGCGATCACACCCACCAGCTTGTTCTCCACACAGACAACGACCACAGTCTTGCCTTCCAGCTCCATTTCATGCATGTGAGCACGCATCTTGTCGCCAATGGCGATACCTTTTTCCTCGCAATACTCCGAGTTGCCAGCCATTACGTTTACAGGTCTGCTTCGAGAGGTGACCTCGCTAGCGGCCACTACACCTTCGATTCCTCGGCCAGGAACAACGTGCACCTCTGTAGGGTCATGGAGTTCTAGCTTCTCATACTCAGTGGCTGTCACCACAATAGCCTTGCCAAGAACGTGTTCACTCACACACTCCAACGACGCGCCGTAATACAAAAGCTCACGAGGTGTGTACGCTCGATCGGCTACCACGACGTCACGTACAGATGGGTGTCCGACAGTAAGTGTTCCCGTCTTGTCGAACACGATGGTATCAATATACCGCGCTGTCTCGAGCGCTCGACCGCCCTTGATAAGCACCCCTTTCTTGGCGCCAACACCACACCCAACCATGACAGCGGTGGGTGTAGCAAGTCCCAAAGCACACGGACACGCGATAACTACCACTGAAATGGCAAATAGGATCGACACGAAGAAATCATCAGCATGGCCCGTACCTGAGGACACTCCGAGGTCGATTTTCCATTGTGCAGGTACGACATCCATTGACAAAAGTATCATCCACGTTATAAATGTCAGCACGGACAAGCCGAGAACACAGGGAGCGAAAATCGACGCCAACCAGTCTGCATATGCCTGGATCGGAGCCTTGTGGAGCTGAGCATTTTCGATCAATGCACAGATCTGTGACAAAGCTGAGCTCTCGCCACCCAAACAGCTGGACACAATGACCAATGCGCCCTGTTGGTTAACCGTCGATCCAAACACATAGTCACCCTCTTTCTTGGCCACCGGCATACTCTCACCCGTCAGCATCGACTCATCTGTCGAGCTGGAGCCAGACTTCACCACGCCGTCTGTTGGGATGTTAGCACCAGGTAGAATGCGTAGCAGGTCGCCACGTTGGACCAACTCGATCGGAATCTCGCGATCACGTTTGCCCTTTTCAACTAGTAGAGCCGTTTTTGGCTGAAGTTTCGCCAACTCCGACAGAGCGTCCGCTGTTTTACCCTTGGCCATCGACTCCATGTACTTACCGAGCGTCACGAAGGTCAGCAACATCGCAGAAGACTCAAAAAAGTGGTGGCCGTTGTAGTTCTCGTGCAGGGCCGAGCCCATGAAGGACACAAAACTGTAAGTGTACGACATGCTGGTGCCGGCCACAACCAGGAAGTCCATACCCATAGCGCCGTGCTGTAGACCTTTCCACGCAGCCACGTAGAACCGTCGGCCAACGCCAAATTGCACTGGTGTCGAGAGTAGAAAGAGCAGCAGCAGCTTCAACGTCACGGCGTTGAACACCGGGGTCATTAGAAACATTTCTACCGGCGGAATGTACATGAGCACCATGTGGATGAGTGTGGCCGGCAAGGAAAAAATCATGGCCGTGGTCAAAAGTTTACGCCATTTTGCCACCTCCGACTTGCTCAGGGCGTTCTGGTCCGTCGTCTGCAGCGCCACCTCGGCCGAGTAGCCCAGGCCATTGATACACTCCAGTACGTCACGCGGACCTGTCTTGGCCAACTGCTTCAGATGCACCTGCGCCTTGTTTAGCGGCAGATTGACCAGCACTTTCGTCACTCCAGGCAACTTGCCCACCGCCGTCTCGATCTTGCCCACACACGCAGCGCAACTCATGCCCGTGACAGTGAACTTGAGCTCCAGCGAGTCGTCGTCACCGGGCTCCACCACGTGTGAGAACGTCGCCGTGTAGCCGGCGTCCTGGATGAGTTTATGGAGTGACGTCTGCTCATTCTTGACCAGATCACGGTCGAACGAGACCTCGGCCTTCTGGCTGATGAGGCCCACGCGACAGTGCAATACGCCCTCCGCCTTGCCCACGTAATCCTCGATGGCTTTCACACATGCGGCACAACTCATGCCTTCCACATGGAACACGGCGCGTGGGTGGCTGGCCACGTCGGGTATGTCCACGGCCACGTTCTCCGTCTCCTGCTGCTTCTGCTTTTGTGCTTGTAGTTTGATAACCGCAGCCTTAGCGGCGTCGTACGCGCTGGCCTCGAAGCCCACACACTCCACCATGTCTACCAGCTGCTCCAACGTCGCGCTACCGGGTCGAAGTAGATTTATTGAAGCTCTACGTTGTTCGAAGCTAACGACGACGTCGGCCACGCCATCCACGCCTCGCAGCGCGTTCTCGACGGTCGTGCCGCAGTTCTTCTGGCACATCATTCCCTCCACCAGCAGCTGGAGCGTCAGTGGGTCCTGCATATTGCTCTCCGACGCCGTGTTGACCGGCGTTTTCACTGCGGCACCGAAGCCCACGCACTCGACGGCGTCCACCAGGTCGTCAGCCGTCACACTCGCGCCCGGGATGCACTCGATGTGTGCGCTGCGCTTCTCGAAGTCGACGACGGCATCGGCCACGCCGTCCACGTTGCGCAGCGCGCTCTGCACTGTGTTGCCGCAGTTCTTCATGCACATCATGCCTTCCACCGCGAGCTCCACCACGAGTGGTTGGCCCGTCTCGGCCGCCATGGTTGAGCTTCTACAGAGTCAAGTGTATCGCTTCGTGCAGATCTAAAAGTGTCCGATTATTGGAATTGAAAAATGGAGTCAGAGCACACACGTCTATTGGCTTTGGATTGGGTGTCAGTTTATATGGGTCTCAGTATGGGAAAAAGTTATGATATTGGTTCGTACTTAGACGGAAGCAACGTTGAAGTGACCGTCGATGAATTGTGCTTTAACGTTGCGGCGCATCGATGGCGACACACGCCACCAGAATTATGACTGCCGCAATGTGAATACTCAGCGCTGAGCCGCTATCGGCGTAGTTGCTCGTGCTACAATTAAATTGGTCTTGACGAAGTGAAGCTGCAGCGTTCTGAGCCAGGCGTCGTTCTAGACTTACCTGTTCTGGAGCGCCGACGTCGGACCATGAAGTTTCGCTGCACTCACGTGGCGAAGCTGCAGATCGGCTACTTGTACATCAAGCTGATACTATGCATCAACACGCAATTGCGATGAATCTGGATCGGCGGCTTTTGCGTGTCGGTCGTTGGTTCAGTCAACAATCGCTCTAGCCGGAGCTTCCGGGCCGGAGGTTTGTCTCGCAACCGCCACTTGAATCATTCACCTGCGGGTTGCGACTCTCGCAACTTGCGAGATGCGATCGGATCCACATGCGGTTGCATCATCCTCTACACGGACGAACAGCGCAAGATTGATCTGTGTTCGTCACCGAAATGTGCTCAGGAAGACTATATTATAAATTACCGGTAAAATACTAATTATTTGAAAAATACGCATGCTCTTTAAAATTTGATATTATAACGTCCTTTTTTAATAAAAATTTATAATTTAATAAATCAATATACCGTAACACACCACTATCAGCCAATGAATCGGAGCACCATTCCGTATCATTTGCGATGAAGGCGCGAATGACGGGGCTCATCAATCAGTCCCCGCAGTATGCGATCGACCAGTCGCGCGTGCCGATTTACTTCGTGGCCTCCGAGAAGGACTGGTACTACTGCTCTACTCGCTTGCTCAATGCGCAAGTCATGGGCTTCGATACGGTGCGCCATTCACTCGAATTTTCCAACAACCCCATTAATCTAACGCCCCAATGACAGGAAACCCGCCCGATCTGGAGCAAACACCAGCGTCGCAACCCGTGCGCATTGCTACAGATTGCAGTTCGCGATGCCAATCAAAAGGAAGAGGTCTTTATCCTCGACCTGCTGCACTTGTCGGCCAAAGTCTACAACACCACACTAACTAACGTCTTCCTGTCTAAAACGGTCGTCAAGCTGGGACAGAGCTTCTATCAGGACTTGCAGGAGCTGGCGGAGTCGTACCCGCAAGCCTCCTGCTTTACCGTCTGCAAGGGCGTCGTGGAAGTGAACGATCTGTCAATCTCATTGGCTGGGGCACACAACCCGCTTAGTCTGCAGAAGCTAGTGTTTTTCTACTTGCATCACAAGCTCACTAAGACTCAGCAAATGTCCAATTGGGCACGGAGACCGCTCACGCCTAGTCAGCTGCACTATGCTGCAGCGGATGCACTGGTGCTGATCCACTTGTACGACGAGCTATTGATGCGCATTCAGAAGCAGCGTACAACAAAGAAGTTCCGATTGAGCGAAGTGACCAATGTGCTGGATGTGAATCTCCCGCCATCGCCAAAGTGCTCGCTCTGCTTTGACGTTTTCGAGACGAGTAAAGAACTGAAGAAACACCGCAAAACTTGCTTGCTGAACGTGCGCACGCTGGCGATTTGTGAGGTTTGCGAAGGCAAGAAACTCGTGACTGAACAAGTTATGAAGCACCATGTGAAGCGCTGCGGCGTGGATGACGTTGCGGATGAGCCGATCGTGCAGGTCAAGCGGAAACGTTCGCTATCACTGGACTGCAAAAAGAGAGGAACGAAGTCGAAGAAGCGCCGGTTGGAGTCAACAGAGGAACCCATTTTCACCAAAGCGGAGCAAAAGCCGAAGAAATCGCTCACGAAAAGGCAGAAGAAGAAAGAACGGAAGAAAAAAGCGAAGGCGTTGGCTGCCTTGAAAGATCAATTTTCGGCAGATAGCCTATCGCAAGTAGAGACGTCGAGCTGTCGGGATCAAGAGCACAGGAAGCGCAAAATGAGCATGGAGTCGTCGCTTTTGGCGTCCGATGCAATGTGGTCTCAGATTTCGAGCGACTGCGAGTCCTTCACCACTGCCGCGTAGAGGTCGCCAACATGAAACACTCTTATTCAAAGGGGCATTAAAGATTTTGCATTTTTCTTTGGTTGGCTCAAATTATTTTTCGGTGTTGCTTTTTCATTACTTCCGGTATTGTAGGCGACATTGAACATTGGGCCAGAATCTAGAGAGGCATAAGAGGTCTACATTTAGGAAAACCTATATCGTGCAATCATGCGTTTAGATTTCGATTTTGTGGTAATTTTTAGCCAATTCCCAGCCGTTTTGGAGCTACAGTCGTTTAAAAATGCCCTCTCAGAACACTGTCATTTTCGGGGGAAAGGCGCGCCAAATACACAGATATGATTGGTCTAGAATCAAAATCATATGTCAAAAAGGAAGATGACACATCGCCCGGTCGCAGATTGCCCTTGTCGATTTAACATTCAATTCTGCCAGCAGGATGGTGAAAAATATTATAAAGGTATCCGTCAGGTGATAATCTCGCTTTCGACCTCTGTCGTTTTCACTGGGCTTTGTACAAATATTAGTTTAAAAAGGAAGTGTTACAATATCAGTTATAATTGATATACCTCAAAATCAGTGTCTGGGTTATTCTTTTTCTCAGTAACCACCAAGGCAATCAGAGACGTCATGATGCCTTTGAAGAGGCCTTGTTCCTTCTGGCTTTTGAAATACTCGTAGCTGCTCACAATCATCCGCTTCTCTCCTGGGCAGAACTCGTGCTTGCCGGACATTTTCGCTGACCTTAAAGGATGCTTCTGGCTAACTACCGCCCTCTCAAGACACTAAGTTATATATAGCACTTTTATTTATATCAAACAGACAATTATTAGACTTTTTACAGTCTGTATAGTATGGGTTACAATTTCTGGCCCAATGTTCAATGTCGCCTACAATACTTCGACTTTTCCGACTGTAAAGGATGTGCAGTCAGAGACCGGCCATTGTAAAGTGTCGAGCAAGTCGGCGTTTTTAGCGACAGGATCTGCTGCTGTGTGTGTTACAGCAAGAAACAACGCGATCAGTGTACATGCATGGCCGCCGGCATTGGCCGGCCCTCGACAAGCTCTACCTCGTGTGTAGCCAAAAGTTTCGACGTTTCATGTTGGCCTGCAGCCACAGCGTGGCCATCTATTCAATCTTGGTCATAAAAAAACTCGCTTGCTTTCTGGTCAGCGACCTCTGGTCTGCTTCGTGGACACCAGCTGGCGCATTCCGCGGGCACAGAGCCGTGTCAGCTCATGCTTGACCCAGGGTCAGACCCAGGGTACTACCCTGGCAGCCAGGGAACGAGACTCGCGGCGATGCGGACATCGCTGTTTCCTGGACTCACAGTGAATATGCGATCGGACCGAAGTAAGCTGTCAAAAAGACATAACGTGGTAGCAACTAATTCGGGATGGTGGGTTGGCTTCCCTACTGTATTCTACTGTTGGAGGTGTCGACGGCGTTAAATAATTTATAGCTTTTAAGAAGGGCTGAAATCCTTTTACAATTCCCAACTAGAAAACTTAGTGCAGGTACTCACGATTTTTAGAATCTCATAACTTAACGCCATATCTTGGGGTTTCAGCTAGACCCTCACGAAGTGCATCATCGGATAATGTAGCGATCCGCATGGCATCCAATACAGTCCAAGCGTAGCTGAATTAAAATAATAAATAAAAGGGTGAGGGGATTAATGAGCTTGACGAATGTCCCATGTGGGCTCATCCAGGACCGCTCGGGGTGGCCTTTCAAAAACCCCACATTACAGAATTTGGCACACAGGAACGTTCCCAAATTTGGCATTTCGCATTGAATGTGGATGTGGTGGCCAGCTGGAAGAATTTGGAGAACACAGAAAGGAATGGGCGACGTTACGAAAAAAACACCGCGGGCCAGGTGGTAATGGGTGGGGGACAACGGTGCCTCCTCCTAAAAAATAAAAATCAAAGTTTTGCCGTTTTAAAGAGACTTTGGCACTACAGGAATTTGACTAATCCCACCTCTGATACCTTTCCCGGCCA